GAGGTAATCTAGTCCACTTCTTGCCCGTCCAGCTAATTCACCATTGAAAACAGCTCCAACGGCCATCCATTCAAGCCTTCGCCCATGAAGGAGAGTCCACCAATTCTGAAACAGTCTCTTCCCTCTTAGTCTCAGAAGGTTCTTCTTAATATTTCGTCAAAATCTGCTTTCTTGTTTGCATCCGAGGCTCTGAATCCTATTCTCTGAAGTCACAGAAAACAGGTTGGTGCCCTCTTCCACGGGAGAGCTCTTCAAGTATTTGAAGATGACTCTCTTTATCACCTCTGAAGATAAAAGCAACGTAAAACGCCTTGATCAGGCGCTCACTTGAGGCAGCGAAAACAACAGCGTCCTGGGGCATGCCAAAGATTGAAATCCAAGCGCATGCAATTCAGTTGGAGCCTTCAGTGCAAACAGATGCACAACTTTATAGATTCATGTTCTGAATGTGACAAGAAGAAGATGCTTTTTGCACTTTTGAGCTGAGGGCTGGCAAAACTGGTACAAATTCCAAGGAACAGGTACTTCTATTATAAGAACTTCTCTTTCTGCATTTTCTTGCTAAGCTTTTTTTGGTGTTTTTCTTTTCCCTGCCACTGGAAAGCAGCAACTGGCTAGTCACTGCCATTTTTGCCCGAAATTCCTTTAAAGGAGGAACAGGACATTACAGCTGGAATAGGCACTGAAAACGGTTACCCAAATTGGTCCCATTCTCCTTAGGGAAAAGGTCACCCTGTTTGAGACCCCATGAATTAGGGGGAAAAAGGTAAGGGGAGACATGACAGAGCTACATAAAATTATGCATGGTGTATAGAAGACAGACAGGCAGAGGATTTTCCTCCCCTAGTCATTGGAATTGATCCAATCAAGCAAAACAGTGAGATTAAAAAATATTAAAGAAAGCACTACTTTTTAAAAACTGATTTTAACATCACCATGAATTGCAAACGGGTATTAAAGGCTTATACATGGGGAAAACTACTACAAAAGAGAGAGTCAACATTGTAATTCCTATATCCCTTCCATTTCAAGCACACCTGCTTTCTGTCGCCTTTCCCGTCAGTGCTACATGAGTAGAAAGTGACCGGTCCTGAATGGGACGGATTCTTTTCCATATATCCCAAAGTTATTAGAGAACACCCCTCCAGAATTTCTGTTGAGAAGCTGGTGGTTGTCCTAAGTCCAAGTTGATATTCGCACAGTCTAGAGAAGGGCACTATGTGTTGAAGAGCAGGGGGGTTCTAATTTCTGTTGAGAAGCTGGTGGTTGTCCTAAGTCCAAGTTGATATTCGCACAGTCTAGAGAAGGGCATTATGTGTTGAAGAGCAGGGGGGCTCTCCACCCTTCGGTCCCTGGATGTTCTTGGACTTCAGCTCCCAGGAATCCTGGCCAGCACAGCTGGTTGGTAGAGGCTTCTGGGAGTTGTAGTGTAAAAATACTTGGAGACCCAAGGTTGTCAACTAGAGATCTAGAAGGACGGTTCCTTTATGGATTCCTCCATTGGCCCTTATTTTGCAAGGTAGGTTTTCAAGACATGACACCAACCGTGTTCTTTCCAGGCCCTTTGCTGTAGCCAAGTCCTCTACCGTCTCCCATCTTCTGGCTATTTCCTGGGGAGCCATTGTTAGCAGGAGGCTTACTTACCATGTTTCTATGATGGAAGATCCAAAACAACAACCCATCAACCCTTCTTCACATATCATTGCGAAATTTCAGGCCATGAGGCAAGAGCGACGGCTTCAAAAGTGGAGTTGACAACTTATGGAGAATAAAATTGTCAACCACTGTGCATCATCATGACGACCCTATGCTACTTCTACAGTACGCCCCTGAATACTACGAGCAAGCATGAGAAAAAAGGTTTCGATAGCGCTTCTTTCCTGGTTAGCCAATGCGGGGATTGAATCCTCGACAAAGTTGACGTCTCGATTTGGGTAACTGGCACGCCCACCCAGGAGTCCCACAAAGATTTATAGACCTCCCAGGCAAAGAGAATAGATTCTATGATCTGTCATAGCTGACGTGATCCCAGTCAAGGGTTAATACCAGAATGAAACCAAATGATCAGTGACAATAAGCCACTCCCAACTCCAAATTGTATCACATTTCTGGAAAGTGCAAATGAAGTTTATATGCTGGGGAGGGACTCCTGGCGCAGTGGTTAAACTGCAGAACTGCAATACAGGCTCTGCTCACGACCCGTCAGCAAACGGAGTAGCCAGCTCAGCAGAGTGGGCAATGTGTACCTTGCATAGTTAAACTGTAAACTGTCCAGAGACTGCTTTAAGAGGTATGGGGTGATATAGGAGCAGCACACTTTTGACGGACCTAGTGATCTTTTCTTCTGTGAGGTGGTCCGTATATTAATAAAATAAATATACGAAAAGATCTTTATTTAACACTCAGCCTCGGATTCTTTCTTTCTTATTGTGTACTGAAATGCCACTGCTTCACAGAATGGATGAAATAGATTGCAACGGGTGACCTCAACACAGAGTCAGATGCACATTAAAGAGCATGAAAAGAAGATTCCCCCCCCCCCATCTTTCTTGATCATACCTCTTTCTATTTTATTTTTAATGCCCAGGGATGTGGAAAAACCACCACCACCCTGTCATCCTCTCTGATTCAAAGAGCTTGTTGGGGAAAACACAATCGCCGCCTTTTACAGACCATAATTATTAGCTGCCTTTCAAACTGGTCAAGAATTCGATACAAGGGGGAACAGGAAGACAAGCAAACCTTGAATCCAGCTGGCAAAGCGATGGACTGGACTCCCACATCTCAGCCAGGTTTCTGGAAAAAAAAACCACTGCATTTTCTCAATAATAAATAAAAGCAACCCCCCCCTTTCTCTTTTAATTTCCCTTACTTCAGGTTTTGCCACTGCACTTACGTAGGTGTAAATATTCAAGGGGATTCTGGCCAATGTTGTGTGTAGAGGCACCACACAAAACCTGCTTCAAAGTCCCTGAAGTTTCCATCACAACACGTAATGTGGTTGTGTGTTGTTGTTTTTAATTTTCTATTTTGCCTAGAACTGGCAAAGATTCAGGACCGAAACTGTTCTGAGTTCGGGTCGGTTTTTAAAACTCCAATTAGCACCCGCCGGGCCTGGGTGTATTCCGTGGGTCTTTTTGTGAGGATTGGGGGGGAACAACCCAAAGGACAGCCAACGTACAAGCGAGAACCTACAGGCCTTTGGCTAGAAAATTAAAAGTTGTTTGCTGTGGCTTGATGGCTTAATCAGTCGATCAATATTGTTCATAAGGTAGGCAAGGAAAGAGCTCCGAGTCACGATGAAAAATGCATAAGGGGACAAAGGAGGATGGAGAGCAGAAAATTAAAAAAAGCTGGCCCTGCTACATTTGTCCAATAACAGCAGAGAAATTAAAGGGGTTTGTTGGGGGGGGAAAGCGCGTGAACGCTCAGGCTCATTGGAAAGGTGGAGGGAAAGAACTGAAATAAATATAAACAGCTGCCCAAGGTTTATGGGTTTTTTGGGGGGAGGAAATTCATGTAGATCAAGTCGCTTTTTTCAAAAGCTGCATTTTGCAAGGGGTCATTTTTGCAGACCTTCAAAGACCAGGGCGAAAGAGGAGAGTGTTTTTTCATTAAACAGGAGCTCACTAAAAACTCATCTAATACCCTTTTTTTCCAACAAGCATAGGCAGTAACAACATTATGATGGTGAGGGTATTTTGTGTGTGTGTGTGTTTTAGAACACCAAATAGAAACAACGTACTATAAATGCTTAATACACTTGATGTGCTGGGCTGCTCAAACGTTGTTAAGACCAGGTCTGAATTTTCCACATACACCGCTTTACACAAAATCAAACATGCTTGGAACACCTCTGCTGTGGATAGAGGGGTCCTACTGTAGGCCTCCGTTCATTCCTTTAAAAACAAATCTTTCTAGGAATGAAACTGTTGGCAAAGACTGCTGTTTTTTTTTTAGCAATAACCTTTACGGACTTGATTCTCACCTTGTGCTCCATTATGCCTCAAACACAGTTTGCCTTGTTTCTGATCTGGTTAAAGAAAACGAATGGAAAGGGCGGTATGCTATGAGATTTTTTTTTTAAATCAGCGCAGATGACCCGAAAGGAAGGGTTCCAACCCAAATTGGCCTTACAGGGGCTTGAAACAAACCCATACCGTTCTCAGCGTCTAGATTTTAACTCAAGGTAGCTTACCATGTCAAAAAAACACCAGAGTTTCTAACACTTGCAGTGCCAAGCTCTCTAAGCTGTCAAGGTCATCTTGGGATCCTCCCTGACTCCACAAAGATGTTTTGACTACAGACGGATGGAATATCTATTTCTGGCCCGTGGTAATTAGGCATCACTTCATCTCAAAGTAGGGCTGTCTCTCGTTTCCACATTAATCTGCAATTGAACGAAATTTATCAGAACATTTGTGTCTAGATACACATTTCTCCCACAAACCCTGAATGTCTAACGCTGTTCCCTCTCAAAGGGTATACAGTACAACTAAACTTATTATACTCGAAAACATGAATTTTTAATGCACTTTGATCATGTGTTAAGCCAAGAATGGTATCGTATCATTCAGGTATTTGTGTGGAATCCAGTGGACAACTATGTCCTGCTTTGTCGTTTTGGCAGCATGAATGTGGGGAGCAAAATTTCTGCTTGCTATCTCTAACCAGTAGGAGGGGGCAGCATCTCATGGCAACAATATCAAACCGGGCCAAGGGGAACCCCGGCTGGAAGCACTTGAGGTATGTCCAACAAGCACAATACGTTTCCCTACTTTATCAACAGTATTATCTGAAAGCTGACATCTTTATTAACGCTGCAGCTCTACCACAGAGTTTTCAGATTTTCTAAAACTTGGAAAAGAGCCTCTTTACAAAAGAAAACAACGACAAAGTTATTCATGGTGATTCTTAACCTCCAGTTTGGGAAGCAAGCAAAGGACAGAAAATGCTCGCCGTGAGCTCTCAAAGAGGGAACAGAAGTAGAAGCCAAGAGGTAGCTGAATATCAACTTTTATTCATACCAAAAAATAGATTCTAAATGGCAGACTAATTGCATGACATAACTTAAACGATACCGAAAAGGCACCTGGAATTAATAAGTGATGATGCCGAATGATCCAACTGGACAGCTTCAACATTTGAAGCTTAGCACTCTGAAAAATGATGATGGACAGTAACAGTATTCCACTTTTAGCCCTTGTGTGTTTAGCTGAATTGAGTCAAAACTATGAAATGAGCCATTCGGGCAAGGCTTCAGTCCTCCTCTCAAAACCGGTCATGGTGAAGGAGAAGGTGCAATTAGAAACAGCTAGAAGAAGAGCAAAGACATGGGCCACCCCACCCTCTACCCATCCATGCCTCTCAAGATGCCTCTTTTAAGTTGGTTCTCTTCACATACTCCGGTTGGCCTCCAGATACAGTCTCCAGCCCCTCTACTGCCTACAGGTGTCATGGAAGGCTTCCAGCGTCCGAAAATCCCGCCACGTGGGTGGTAGACCATCCTGCAGAAACTTTCCGCAGCGCTGGCATGGAGCCTGGAAGAGCTTTATGTAACTTCTTAGCCAGGTCTAAAAAAGAAACACAAAGAGAGGAACCAAGTGAGGAAACCGAATACGGACACTCCCAATGTCATCGCTTTGGTCGAGGCCAATGATGCTGAAGAGAGGAAATTTACTTTGGCTTTAGCCCAGAGAGAGAAAGACTTTAGAAGGAAGTAGGCAGAAAAACCACAAGGTCACCGTATAGCTGATAGTCGACTTTATTGGAGTATCTATTCTCTCATACTCTCTCAATAAGCAGCAATGTAAATAGAAGTTCCTGCAGCGACAAGCAGGTATTTGAAAATTAAAGGGTCATCATGGACATCGAGAACTTCCTTCCAGCTAGACGGAAATCAAATTCAGGTTGACCATTTGTTTATAAAAGTGACCTTGGTAATACGAGAAGCTGGAACCTGCCTCTTCTATTCATATGTCATCTGTTCCAAGACAAAAGAGAGCAATGCTGCATCTAGTAAGAGCAACAGATTTATTATTGCATGAGAATTCATGAAAATACAGCTGATTTCTTCATACTTTTACAGTCTGGAGGCTTGAGATAGTATATAACTATCTAGAGCCCCCAGACTGTGGTCTATATACATGGAGAAGTGATCTGTGTATATGTCTATTTATAAAAGTCACTTTTAAAAATGTATATATGTATGGAGATGTTGGCATATCTTTGGGCCAGAGTCTGAGTCTTTAGTACTACGTCCCAAGTCCCAACTCTGAGTCCCTATTAAAAAGAAGCTTTTTTCCCCCACAAAAAAAGGGGAGGGTAGTAACCAACATGAATTGGACCCAACTCCGGGAGGCAGTGGAAGATAGGAGGGCCTGGCGTGCTCTGGTCCATGGGGTCACGAAGAGTCGGACATGACTAAATGAACGAACGAACGAACGGGTGCACTATATATCTGACATTCTGCGTTGGCCGTGCTTTACCATCCAATCTATTGGCGGTAAAAGACCACTTCTGAGCTCACATAACAAGACTGGATGCAGGGCTCTGGAGAAGCCTTAGGGGAGAACAGGGATCCTGGAGGATTATAATTCACCAATCCTTAGGTAGCAGACCTCTAAATCCATTCCCCCACCAAGCCAAGAAAACATCTTTGGCTTAATGAGAAAGGCACGCCATGGGTGAGACCATTCAAAACATTTCAGTAAATTAAATATGCAATGTTTATTTCTTTTCCACTTCTTCCGTCAGCGTGTGGCATATACTCATTAGGCAAATGTTTGCTAACAAGATGTTTATCTTGAAATGGTAAATATTAAAACATGTAAGTTGATTTCCACTCTGGTAAGAGGGAACCCAAAGCTAATCCCGTCTCTCCTGAGAACAATGGTCGACGCATCATCTGGTAGCGATAAACTGCGTCACACTCATCTAAGCTCAGCAATGTCAATTCTGACTGTCTCAAGAAGGACGCTTTCCTACTCCTACATGGGGGTCCCTCACATATATCCTGGTGGTCTCCTGTTGAAGTATAGCCATAGATAAGAGCTGCATTTTAATGGCTAGGCTTTCTTATAAACAGGAGGGCCTCTGTCCTTAGACTTTGGGATATAGCAGATTGTGGTCGGTCTAGAGAAAGGGTGGTGACAGCGGAAAACATCATGCTAAGCAAGGTATTTTGAGGCTGACCTGAAGTAGGTCGTTTCCATTGTCTTATGGGAGAATCAACATTATGTAACTCAATTGCAAGCTCAAATAGATACGTTCACTCGGAAAAAACAGAGGAAAAATAAGCCTCCAAGAGAAGCAGATTCAGGATATGAAGGATGCTCATGAATCTCGTCATAAGTCCTATTGAATTATGTCAATAAGAGAAGATTGTTCTGTGGAGAAGAGGTCAGAGCCATGTTTATTGAAATGAATCCTTCTGTCTTCATTTGAACTGCCTCTCCATCTTGAGCTGTCAATAACTTTCCTCCAAAAGAAACCACGACAGTCTCCGAGAGCAGAAATCCAGACACGGCTAAGGACAATCGGAGGACGCAAGCCAACTGCTGCCTACTTTGGGTTGCTCTGACTTGGCGATCCTGAGTCAAAAACAGTGAGATTTTTCCGTGCCTCCTTTTGTTAGTGGCAAATTAGGTCAAATGCAGTGGTTAAAAGATTTGCTAGATGGAGAAAGTGGCTTTTTTTAAAAAAGGGAAGTCCTTCATTTCTTGTCTAGATAATTAAGACTTCACGGCATCCTGTCAAGCAGATTGCACATTTGATGGGTAAAATGCTTACCATTATTGGCACTTCGGATGAACATAATGGCTTTGCTTTCTTAAAATTTATCAGTGGTGTTTTAGCAAATCAATACCACAAACCTATAGGTGAGGAAATCAACCCTGAGTGCTCATGTACCCCAAGACGGTCACATTTTGATCCAGGTTCACCGTAAAACCGTAGCGACCGGTCCTGCTAGTTGCGTCTCTGACACTGAACACCCATACGGGCCAAACAGACCTTTCAAAATAGAGATCAAAGCCCAACAGGCTGCCAACCAGCAACATTATGCCATCTGGGAGAAACGAGAGCCACCTTACCATGAACGACCGGACCACCACATCTGGCATTTGGGGTAACTGGTAATGCAGCAGGGCAGTCGTAGCATGATCGGTTACCTAGAGAGGAGGAAGGGAGAGGCAGAAAGAGAGACGAAAGTTCGTCAGTCACTCTTTGAAATCTAGAACATCCATTTACAAGCTTGCATTCCTCTTCTTCCCATTTGGCCTTGCCTTGGAGGGAAAAAAATGGAGAGTCTTCAACAAAATGTGATGGGTTTTCCTAAAGCACTTTGGGATGTGCTATGGAGCGAGATTGTGTGTGGAGACGGACTTTAATGAAGCTTTATGAGCATTCACAAACAATCAAGGAGCACAGAATTAGACCTGAGGATAAAGCGTGAGCCCATTTCATGTCTACAAACCCATGTTATTGTATACATCCTGTGTAAGTTAGTATAATCATCACAGATGCAAGTTTACGACATGTTCCTGTTTACAGAATGCATTAAGCTACAACGACTCGGTCACAAGACTGACTAGGAGGCTTTGGGAATTTCAACGCCAATGAAAGTCACCAATGTTGATTTATGTTAGGACGGACCATTATTTCTCTGTCTGGCTCAGTACTGTCCATAGAAGGGGTTTCCAGCCGTGTTCTGGAACAGCAACTCCCAGAAGCCCTTACCACTAGTTGTGCTGGCTGAAGTTTCTGGGAGTTGCAGTACAGGAACACCTTGGTGAAGGGAAGTGTCTGTTCAAGGTTTCAGACAGAAGCCCTTCCTAGACCTGTGATCTTGGGGAGTAAAAAAAACCCGGGTGCATCTTCCTCCAGTGAGCTTGGCCTTTTCTTGCTTCGGCTTCTGCTTAAAGTAACGAAAAAGCGAAGTCCCAAAATGACGCCCCTCTTAAAACTCTGCCGAAGGCAAAATATTTACCCAAATCTGCTTGATCTGCAGACTAATGACTTGGTTTGGAAAGCAAAATTCTTGAATTAGAAAAGCACCAGAGAGATTTCAATATTGTTGCTAACATAATTAGGCGTATTAAGGGGGGGAGGGAAGCAGCACAGTGAGAAAGCAGCTACACATCAAGGGCTTGCAGTGTATGATATGGCAGTAATGAAGAGTGGATTAATTCTCACTTGGTTGTGACTCATGAATGAAGACGAACTTTGCTTTGTGGAATCACAAGCGGAAGCACAACGTCTCCTATGTTATTTAACACCAACATGAAACCACCCTTCTCTTCAGATAAACCCTTCCCTCAGCAACCAGCTACCTGTGATTTTTTTAGATAGTTATATATTACTGCTTTGACTGGATTGTTAATACTACTGGTGTTTTCCATTTCTCAGAGTGGCATTTTTAAAAAAATGTATACTTATTTTTCTTAAGCTTTCCCATTGCCTTTTAATGATGTCAGATCCCTCTTTACTCTTGGGATCTTAGTTTTAAATAATGTCTTTTAATGATGCTAGGCACTGCCATCCACTTAATTGTCTTCAGCTTCAAATACTGTCTTTCGCTGTTGTAAGCTGCCTCGGGTCCTTTCCTAGGAGAAAGGTGGGGTAAAAATATTTTGAATAATTTTTTTTAAAAAAAACCCAACACTTCAGGGGGAAGGTATCCTCCCTTCTCCGTGTTATAGATTATTTCTGTTCTTCTTTCACTTTGCTAAATGTCACTGTTCCCCTTATCTGTCACTGACCTCAGCAAGGCTGTTAACGATCAGGACTTCTGGGGATCATTGATTAATAGGGTCCCTGTAAGTCAGAAGTGACCTGATGGCCCATAACAAAAACAGTCCCTGTTCCCACAGCCTTCACACGCATCCTTCCCAAACATTCCAAATTAGGATCGAGACCATTTTGTCCATCGTGTGCAACTGATTTAGCTGAAACATTACTTTCAGGAACTGAAAGGTGTGTCACAGGAAGTGGCATTGACGTTCGTTCTCCTTCTTCCTTCTCTCTTAACCAGACGTTAGTCGTCATCACGGCTACGCTGACTTTGAACGAAGAAGTCCTAAACAAGGATTTGCTGCCTCTAAATATCATCTCACGTTCTTGAGCTGGCCAAGTTCTTTTCCTTCCTATGCTTTGCTTCCTCTCCACCGCACCTCGAAGGATCAACGGTAAGAGCTACGCTTCTCGTTTCTTATTCCATAACAAGTCTGACAGCACTTCTGCATTTCTTGATTTGTTGGTCTTTCACTCATTTACGTTAGTACTTCTTTACCGGTCACTCATTCAGTCCTAAAAAAAATCTCATCCTCCACATTTCAAACACTTCATATTTAAAACTGCCGGTATTAAAATCCCTGCTTCTGTGTCACACAGTAGAGCTGAAAATATGAGGCATCATACAATGTACATACCTGAAGTCTATTTTAATTTTTTTTTAATTGCATCTTAGATTCTTCCTCCTAAGAAAGCTGCTCTGGGCCATTTCTACTCTGACTTGTACGTCATGGCTGTGAAATCTCTTCTGCTCATGCAACCAGATTCTAGGATATTTATATTTGCCAATACTTTTGTTCTGGATCTCTGATGTCTGAATAATTTCAATTTTATTTCATATAACATACACCATGGGATACCTAGTGTGGTGCAGTGAACAGAAATACAGACTACGATTCTGGAGGCCTGGGTTCGAATCCTTACCCAGGCCATGTATTTCCATGAAATCTCATACAATAATAAATCTGTTTAATAGGGACTCAGACTTGGAATTTGCCAAACTCCTGGCTACCAAGACGTTCAAAACCAAGATTTCTAATAAGCCACATTACATTCTTGCCCTTTGCTTTTTCCAGCTGTCAGTAATTAAGCTCATTCCCATTCTCACTTGCGAGATTTCCATTACGCTCTAGTTTTCATCTTCAGGAAGCCAGTTTAGGGTGGTAGTTATATAACTGTCACACATAAAAGCAAGCCATTAGGAACCGTTCTCCTTCTGTTACATTCCAACCTCCCAACGATTTGATTCCTGTTTTGTTTTGTTTAATGCTTCCACAACAAAGTGTTTTGTTTTTTTTAAAATTATTATTAGCATCCAAGATATGGGAGGAAGTTTGCTGTGAGGGAGAAAAAAAAAGAGTATCGCCATTAACAAATTCAAACTGACTGGCTACTTGGGCATAGCAGCACATATGCCGTTCCTATTGTAATGTGGAGTTAATGAGATTCCACTGGGAGATAAAAGCCATCCTAGCACGGCTGGAGCGCTAATCATGTTTTCTGAACAAAAAGCAGGCAAAACTGGTACCAGCAGCCCATGCGGAGAAAGAAAAAGGGTTTCCAACATGGATCAAAACAGGTGCCGAACAGGAGGAAGAGTATCGAAAGGTGGGGGGGGGGGAACTAGTCCACACAAGTAGCAACAAACATGGATCCTGAACATAGCAAAGCGGTTGAGGGGGCTCCAATTAAGTGTCTAGTGAAGGGGAGGTACTTCATACCGCCACCCGCTCCCAAGATCCAAATAAATGCTTTCAAAAGCACAATTTTTTTTTTCCAAAAAGAGAAAACAGTTAGGGGGAGATTAAACAGCTTAGAGTCATTAACAAAAGTATATTTGGACAGCACAAAGTAGGGCTGATATACGTATGTTCATGATTAGAGATGTCCACAAACGGAAAGGTTTCTTTTCCCCGATGATCTGCAATTCGGTGCCCCGCCCCCTCCAGCGGGGACCAATTCGGGACAGCGTTGTCCCGGTCCCCCCCCCAGTCCTCCTCCAGGAAGTGCATTCAAGTGGGTGCTCACTGGACAGGGCAGTGCGATGAGGTGTTCGGCCACAAAACGAACCACCGAATCAGCATTTTCGTGCCCATCTCTATTCCTGATGCTGTTTTACTCTCTTGTCCGAGTTCAAAGTCTAGTTGTGACAGCATGCCCTTGACATCAAGGAACGCTGCCCTTATCACACTTTTACAACTGGCACCCGTTTCAGCATTTTGTCATCTTAACTCCAAATTTCTTCCGATTTTTCAATTGACTGGAAAGGATGACTCCAAAGGTCCACACATTTTTAAAATCAGTGCAGCCCAGTATGGGTGTGTACGCACAGAAACATCCTTCAGGAGACCCGCCACTCTACGGCCTCGCCTTTCTAAAGAGGTCTCCTGTTGGGTCTGGTCCTGTTTTCTCCTTGTATGCGGTGGTTGATCAAATGATGAATTTTGTTTATGATTATCAGCAGAGCTGGAAAGGAAATGGGACTGCTTTGGTGTTAAGGAGCCCTCTGAGTAAAAGGCACAACACACTTTGCCAGATTTCCCTCTGGTCCTGTTTTCTCCTTGTATGCGGTGGTCGATCAAATGATGAATTTCGTTTATGATTATCAGCAGAGCTAGAGAGGAAATGGGACTGCTTTGGTATTAAGGAGCCCTCTGAGTAAATGGCACAACACACTTCGCCAGATTTCCCTCGTGCCAACCACATCAGGTAAAAAGGCACAACAAGTATTATACTACAGCAAATACTCGGGATTTTTCTGAGCCTCTCTCTTTCTTCCCCCCACTTCTTGGTAGCCCTGCTTTGACTGCAATGCGGACGGCAAAAAAAATCACTTTAGTTTGCTATAAGAAGGAACAATATACTTGAGACCCGATAAAGATGCACCTTTCTGAAAGGCTTCCAGGTAAACCCAGCAGTCACAGTAGACCGGTAAATCATCATCCAAGAACAGGATGTGCAACGGATAGGTTAAGGCCATACATAACCTCCCTATCAGGGTTTTGGGGAAGAGAAGAGCCAGTAGGCCTTCTGATGGCTTTTTTTTGGGAAATAACCACTGTTGGACTCCACCTGCTCCTAAAATGGAATTTTCTTTGGTCCTGCATCTCTGCACAGTAAATACGTTCTCCGTGCACACAGGACTGGTGTAATTCCTACAAATGTGATAGCCTTGGAAGAGAGCTGATAGATCATTAAGGATAGCTGCTGTCACCACATGGCATGAGCTGGGCAATGACGGCCCAGTTTTGTGTGTTTGAGTAAATGGAATGCATTTTTTTCCACCCAAACCTTTGAAAACATGAAAAGCAAGCCAAACCGAATTGCTGTGATTTCAAAAATGCAGCTTTCAAAATATCAGAATGGGTAGCTGTGCAGG